TTTAGGCTATATTTTTTCTCAGTCTTAACATTTTCATGTGGCAAACTCCACAATTTTTTGCCACTTTCCCTGCGGTCCCGACTTTCCGCAGTAAACCTATTATTTACATCTATGCTTCCTGATTAACCATATTATTTATTGGTGATCACTTCTTGAATAAATTAAAATACAGAAAAAAGTCATCTGACTTCCAACTAAGCAAACGATAACTGTAAAATGCAAAACTGAGAGTGAGTGCAAAACTGTAACATTTGCCTTAACTTACATTTTTGTCTCCAGGTTTTTTTATTGTTGTTGGATTGACCTCAAATCGTTATGAGAGCGGGAGTAGGGGTGTACCAATAAGAATATACAACAAAACTATGAAAGTCCTTAGAACTATGAAAGATAGCGGTGGCTGAAATAAAAAGTGTTACATCATGTTACAGTTTTGCTCGTCACTGTACATAATATGTTAAGTCAAACAAGTAAAGAAGTATAAGTTCGGACAAAACCGAACTTTATATACCCGGCGTAGGTATGAAATATCGTCGTTTCAACTTTCTCTGAACTACCTTTGCATGATAACTAGGGGTGTTTAATCGATTTCAAACGTTTTCGATAATATGCAGAGTTAGACTTAATGATATAATTGATGCTAGTAAGGTACAAATCGGTTATGTTAACCGAGGTACACCTTTGTAGTTATAAAGTGGGCGGTGCTACGCCCAATTCCTAAAAGTCTATAGCAGTCTTATTTATTGTTATGAGATTGTTGTAACTATTAACTTGAAGTTAATTAGCATCCTCAGTTATTGAAATATCGGAGTTTTCGTATTTCTGAAATTTACCGTTATACGGATAATTTTAGTCCGATTTGAATAATTCTCAACAAATTGCTTTCCCGTTCCAAGGTTATTAAGAGCACCGAGTTTGGTGGAAATTGATACAATGGTTACCGAGATACACATTTCCATTATCCAAAAATGTATAATATTATAATTTTCTGCTAAGGGGTATTGCAATCACCGATTTTAAGTGAATTAGCTCCAGTAGTTACTGATTTATCAGTTTTCGCGTTTCTGTAAATTACCATTATATGGCAGGTGGGCGTGGCTATTGCCCGATATCAAAGATTTTCAACAGATTTCTTACCTAGACCCTACTCAAGCCTTGTACCGAGTTTGGTAAGGATTGGTGAAGCGGCTACTGAGATACAGCATTTCATCATAAGTGGGCGGGGTCACGCCCATTTTCCAAAAATTTCAAAAACAATATTATTTTTAACCACAATTCTACTCTTCATACTAATTTTCAACAATTTGCATATAATATTTACTGAAATATCGCAGTTTTTTGCATTTTTCGAAAATACCGTTATATGGGAAGTGGGCGTGGTTACAGTCCGATATCGCCCATTTTCAGTACCAACCTACCTTGGATAGAGGGCAACCTACATACCAAATTTCGTTGAGATATCTCAATTTTTGCACGAGTTATCGTGTACAGGGACAAACAGACAGACACGGCTTTATCGACTTCTCTTTTCATTCTGGTCATTTATGTATACATTTGGCCATATCTATCTCGATTCGTTTTGGCTGTTACAAACAACCGTTATGCGAACAAAATTAATATAACCTTGTGCACGAGTGGGCTCGGGTATAAAAATCTGCAAGAGTTTGCACGATTGCAATAGGTTTTTATCACAACATTTTGGAAATATGTAGCATTTACATATGCACCGAAGAGTGATTTTCCTTATTATAAAGTATCCCTACGCTTAAACATACGTATGCATTTACTAAATTTTGAAATATTTTATCAGCGAGACAAAATGTGAAACTCGCCACACAATTGTTGTCAAACACCACAGCTGCTGCGAATCGTCACAGTTACGCCCATGGCAAAGAAGTATTTCAAGCAGTTGAAACTGCTGATTTTATTCAGTGTGTGAACAATTGGTTTGACATATTGATTTGATTTTTGATTTGACGAAAAAGAATATAAAGAAAACACACAGCAACTAATCAAAGAGACAAATCGTCGGATGATGAGAAAGGACCCAACCGATGACTACCAAGTGGCAGTAAAGCACGCAATAAAACAAGCAAAACCAATAATAAATCCAAGGAAAGCATATATAATGGCATTAATGAATCCTTCGGTCCCTTCAATGATAGCACTCCCGAAAATACTCAAGCCAGGAAATCCGATGAGACCAATTATCAACCATAAATCTGCACCAAGATACAAACTATCGAAATATCTAAAAGCGTTGCTGAAAGAAAAACTGGAACTATCCAATAAATACACAATTACGAATACAGCGGAGTTAATTGAAAGGATGAAATCGCTAGAAATACCCAAAGATGCGAAATTTGTATCTTTTGATGTTAAGGACCTTTACCCATCGCTACCAACGGCAGAAACAGTTACCATCTTGACTAAAACTTTGATAGAAAAAACAGACAAGAACGTAGCAACGGAAATCGTGAACACATTGAGGGTAACACTAGACCAAAACTACTTAAAGTTTAATAACAAAATATATAGACAAACTAACGGGCTAGGGATGGGTAATCCCACATCTGCAATTTTATTGGAAGTATTCATGCAACATTTAGAGGAAAATTATATGACGGAGCTGACAACAAGCCTGGGAGTAAAGTTCTACGCAAGATACGTCGATGACATCATATGTCTTGTAACGGGAGACAAGGAAGAACAAATTCTAGGCTATCTCAACGACCAACACACGAATATAAACTATTTGGACATAACAATTAAAATAAATAAGGTTACCAACAAATGCGAATTCACAACAGCACAAAAATGCAGCCTTTAGACATCTAATAACCAGGCTTGAACGAACCCCATTGGAAAAAGAAGCTTACAGCAA